GCAGCTTCCCCGGCAGCCGGCGTCCATCCCAGGGCGGCAGCCCGCCGGCGCTTCCCCGCTCCGCCCGGCGCTGGGCGCTCGCCCCTCGCAGTCACCTGCAGACTGAGACACCAGAGGCGCGTCTTAAGATAACAATGCTGCCCTGCCTGCCTCGCTCGCTCTTTCTTATGCACGTAGCGGGGCGGCCAATGGGATAAGGCCCCACACTCCCTGCAGACGCCTATTGGCGGAGCGGCCTGGCAGGAGGCGGGCTCTGAGTCTCACCGGCTGTCTCCTTTGGTTAACTGCGAGGCTGGGGTACCAGCTCTGTTAACCCTCCTGGTTTTGCAGCAGAGACTTTTGGGGCTTGGAGAAGGATACATAGGGTGCGCTCCTGACCGGGGGCGGGGGCGGGGGTGGGTGTTGGAGAATGTGAAAAGGCTGGACAGGAAGAAGCTTGGGAGCTAAATGACGGTTTTGCCTAATCTCCCTGGATTTGCAGTCAGCATTTGTCCCACACCATTTTGTTTGCTTGCTTAACTAGAACCCCCCAGAGATAGGGACCCATTTGAACCATTCTCGTGGAAGTTTCATCCTGTTGATTTGTGCATTTTAGCCTCTTGGTTCTGAATTATTTACTTAGAAATGGGTCCCAAAGAGAATACTTATTTTATAGCACACACACACACACACACACACACATGCGCGCGCGAACTGTAAAAGAGAGAGGCAAAAAAAGAAAGGAAAAGAAAAAGAATTAAACGAGCTAACAGGAACTTGGTGAGAAAGCCAAAGAGAGAAAGAGGTTTAGAGACTCTGGGCAGCTAAATCAAGGGGCAGTCAGTCCCCAAATGGGGCCTCTGGAGAACCAGTGAGGAGACTTCCGGTTTCTGGGGAGAAAGGAAGGGAGAAAAATGTCCTGCTTTCAAAAAAGTGAATTGTTTCATCGGTGGCATTTTCCTTCTGTAGATCATTTTCGTTTACCCAGTGACTGTCGGGAAGAGGGGCTGTGGATGTCCATGGGTTTTTTAAAGAAAACGAGAGAAATCAGAACAGGACCAGCTTTGTTTCTGTGAAGCAGGTGCTGTTGCCAGGCCTGGGGGTTGGGTGGGGGGAGAGAGAGAGAGAGAAAGAGAGAGAGAGAGACTTTGAATGGAATTATATATTTTGGGTGTCTAAAGGAGGGTGCAAAACTGAAATATGTCCAGCTAACTAGAATACTGTGCTGATTTTTGGCAAGAGCATGGGAGAGTAATAGTTGGAAGAAAAGTCCCCTTCAGTTGAGGAGGTGGGGGTCGGTGAGAGTTGGCAAAGGCGTGTGGAGGCCTCACAGTAAGTCATGTGATAAGGAACATGTGGAGATGGAGAAACAGAGAAGTGTTGCGGTTTAGTTTCCCAAACTTGAATGAGAAGGCAGCACCCAAGATTGCTTGCAAAGGACTTGTCAGTGCTGGAGGTGGGGGTGAACGAGAATGCATGTGTTAGTGAATGCTAATGTCGGATAAATCCAGAACGTCATGAAGAGGAAAAATTAAACGTGTGATGTCACATATATACCCTCAGTTCCACTGTTCTATGATTTCCATCGATATCCCTTCTTCTGTGCCCCGTATGGAATCTTGGTGGTGCTGTCTAGTAAGTCGTGGACTGCTAGCCACAAAGTCAGTGGTTCAAACTCACCAGATGCTCCTTGGGAGACAAGATGAGGCTGTCTACTCTGGAAAAGATTTTTAGCTCGTGAAATCCTATGTAGAGTCACTGTAAGGTGGAACTGGCTTGATCTCAATGACAGCAGTTTTGTGTGTGTGTGTGTGTTTATAACTTATATAGATATCTCCTCTATTAGCCCTTCCTCTCATATTGCAAATACGCATTGCTTAAGCTACAAAACATGTCAAGGAATGGAGACCCCCAGAATGTTCAGCTCTCCACAAAGCAGTTAACCTAAAAATAGGCTAAGGCTATTGCTGTCCAAGTGCTGAATTATTTACCCATGTGCTTCCAAGAGACAGGGAAGTTCACTGATCTCCACCAGGTTGCGAGTTGAGAAACATCAGGTGCTGAGGCTCTTGAAAAAATCATGGAAGGGAGAAGAGTAAATAGAAGGAATGGTTGAACAGGCGAAACACGGTCTTGATGAAAGAAAGAAAGTTTTCTAAGATCTCTAAAGGGAGAGATGGTATTTGAACCATTTTCACGTTTGTCTATCACAATAAAGCTGCTGTAAATGTTCTTGTACATGTCTTTTTGTAGACAGATGCAACCATTTCTCCCGAGTCTACAGCAGAGAGTGTCAATCACTCGTTTTGCTTTGGATACTTCACAGGGAAAAGATCAAGTGAAGAGAATGCAGACATCTGTTTTGCTCTCTGAAATAATTGAGTAAGGAGATAAAGGCATATGCTCCTATTCATTGAGCACCTCTGAAAGAGCCCTGGTGGTAAAGTGGTTACATGTTGAGCTGCAATCCTCATGGTTGGCAGTTTGAAACCACCAGAGGGTCTGAGAGAGAAGGACTGGGCTTTCTACTCCCTTAAACAGTTACCGTCTCAGAAACCCACAGAGGGTCGCTATAACTCAGCATTGGCTCAATGGAAGTGAGTTTGGTTTGGGTTCAAGTGCTGATGTCATGGCGCTATGGGATAAACCTTGTGCTGCTAACCATGATGCTGGCAGTTCAAACACCATAGTCATTCCATGAGAGAAAGATGAGGCTAATTGCTACGGTAATATTTTGTAGTTTTAAAACCTCTACAGAGGATTGCTATGAGTCCAAACTGACTCTACAGCAGTGGGATTGGGATTGTCCTTTTTAATTTGAATTTAGTGACTGCCATGTATCAGACCCTTTCTATCCACAACCTTTTTTCACTCTAACAAGTATCTATTCCTAATTCATACCAGTAGATTTAATGCAAGGCTATTAATCATACAAGTAAATTTAATGCAAGGTCCTGTTTTAGGAAACGGCCCTTGACCTCCTGAGTGTGTGGGTGTGGGGAGGGGGGTGCATGTCTAGCTAAGTGCTCCGTGAATTGGGCTATGCAAAAACCAAGAGATGGAAGGTTCACGCCTAGCTGAGGTTACAGACTGCAGCCTGGAGAACGCACATTAGTGTAGTCTAGGTGGGCAGACTGCCATGATAGGAGTGAAAAATAGGAAATGGGCTTGACTTTGGTTGGAATGGCATGCGGGTTTGTGTGTTGGGGAGTACAGGAGATGGAGGTAATGTAGTAAGTGATCAATCTACAAGAATAAACTATATGATATTTGGAAGAGTTTTTAAAATGACAAACCAGAGTGCTTCAAGTGTATCCTTTAGGAAAAGAACAGCGGAGAGTGGCCTGAAGAAGGGTAGATTCCCGAAAGTGCAACCTGTGAGCCGTGAGAAGAGGCTGGGGGCAGGGACAGCACTTGAGAAGCTGCTATAAAAGTCAAGGTAAGCAGACATTAACATTTAAACATAAGTTAAACCTTAGGATTAGAGATAGGAGGTCTGCTATTTCAGGGTGTCTTGTTGTCTATAAATATGTGCACATTTGTTATCTTAACTGGTGATCACACATTCCCTGCAGAGTAGGCAGAGACCATTGACCCCATTTCATTAATAGGGGAAATGAACAACTCTCTTACTTCTCATGAACTGCTATAATAGAAATATCTCAAATGGGTGGCTTTATGCAACATATTTATTCTCTCACAGTTTCTATGGTTAGAGACCTACATTCAGGGAAGGCTTTATCTCTCTATCAGCTCCGGAGGAAGGTCCTCCTCTCTTCCGAACTTCTGTGGAGGAGAGTTGTCATGTGGCTTGGAATCTCTTCTCCAGTCTCTGCTCTGTTGACTTGTCTTATTTCTATTTTTAGCTCTAAAGAGATTGAGTTAACTCACCTTGACTCCATCATGTAATAAAGACAATCCATCCTCAAATGGGATGATAGCCATAGGCAAAGAGGTTAGGTTTTGCCACTCATTTTGGGACACACTCCAATCCATACGATTTTGCTCTTTTTTTATAATCATTTTATTGGGGGCTCATACAACTCTTATTACAATCCATACATCCATTGTGTCAAGCACCTTTGTACATTTGTGGATATCATCATTTCAAAACATTTGCTTTCTACTTGAGCCCTTGGTATCAGCTCCTCATTTTCCCCTCCCTCCCTCTCTCCTTCCCTCACCCTTGATAATTTATAAATCATTACTATTTTTCAATGTCTTACATTGTACAATGTCTCCCTTACCCACCTTTCTGTTGTCTGTCCCCCAGGGATGCGTAGATCATTGGGATTGGTTCCCCCTTTCTCCCCAACCTTCCCCTTACTCTCCTGGTATCGCTACTCTCTGACGGGTTTATCTGCCCTTGATTCTCTATGTTTCTGGCTCTTATGTACGCTGGTACATCCTCTGGTCTAGCCAAATTTGTGAGGTAGAATTGGGATCATGATAGTGGGCAGGGGAGGAAACATTAAAGAACTAGAGGAAAGTGGTATGTTTCATCGGTGCTGATTTTGTTTTTAATTCAACACTTTCACTGCCCAGCCCTATCATAAAGAGAGAGGCCAATAAA